ATTAATAATTTCATTAAAAAACTTCTAACACCTTATTCTGCCTGAGGACATACACCTGGGAGTGGTTAACCAGAATGGTTAATAAATGCTATGGTCTGAATGTTTGTGTTCCCCAAAATTCATAGGTTGAAGTCCAACCTCCAGTGTGGTGATATTAAGAGAGGTGTTCAGGTCATGAGATTGGAGCCTCATGGATGGGTTAATGACCTCTTGGCCCTTCCACCATATCAGGACACAGCAAGAAGACACCATCTGTGAACTAGGAAATGGGCCCTCACCAGACACCAAATCTGCCAATACCTTGGTCTTAGATGTTCCAGCCTCCAGAATTGTGAGAAATAAAGTTCTCTGTATTTATAAGCTATCCAGTCTATGGTATTTTGTTATAGCAGCCCAAATGGACTAAGACAATGACCCAGTCCAGACTTGTAATCAGTCACTACTGTGTTTATATTAGTTCTACTACATCTTAGCAATGCAACTACTCTTTCTGAAATCAGTTTTGCCATTTGTAACTCATAAATAATAACATCAACCTCATAGAGACTTTATGGAAAAAAATTTTATCAGTTCTCAAACATTTTGTTTTCAGGAGTTCTTCAAACACTTAAAAAAGTATTGAGGGTTCCAAAGGTTTTCTGTTTAAGTGAGTTATATCTATTGATATATACTCTATTAGAAATTAATACTAAGAAATTTTTAATACAAAAATACATAATCACACATATCATGAGCCATTAGATTGAGGGCATCATCACATATCTTATAGCCTTAGAAAATATTGCTATACCTTCATGAGATAATGAGAATAAAAAAGGCAAATAATGTCTTAGCATTATTCTAAAAATAGTTTAGAATTTGTGGACCCATAATAAAGTCTTAGGGACCCCAAGAAATACTCAGAGCACATTCTGAGACCTCTGAAAGTCCATACTTTAAAAATTTATCCCAGTGACTAGAATTTCATAAATGTTGAAAATATTGATGATGTTATTTGCTATCATTAAATTACAAGTTTCATGATGGAACTGATGTATTCTATAAATATTCACCTTTAAGGAGGCATGCAATAAAATTTTATTAAATAAAAAAATCCCATAGAACTGTCTATTGAAAAGGGCTTCTATCTTTTGAATAGACAGTACAGTTACTACATTTGTTTTCCGGAAACTGGACTTAGGCTAAAGCCTGCCCAGACAATCAGGAAGCCTTAGGAACTAATGGCATGATATAGGATCAGTCTGGAATCATTATATGACTGCAAACAAGTTACAATTTCTCCAGGTCTCATATAATAAATGAAGGGATATAAGAAGGTTGGACTGCATGATCTCTAAGGTTTTCGTTTTTTTTTTTTTAACCTCTAAAAGTCAATGTTCTGGGTACAATGTGTTTTGATTTGCTAGAGTAGGTGATGGTATATGGGAAAGATCAACAACAGTTCAGGATTAGGAGCATGTGGGGAAATAATTCAAGATAAGCCTGCCAGTTCTCCCAGAATAAGATGATAAGGAAATGTGGGAACATTTGATAAGTTAAAATCGATATCTCATAAGATCCAGAGTTTGAAAGCTTGTCACTAACAGAAAGTGGCACTAAAGAGCATGGATATTGACCTGTGATCTGAGGATCTTTGTTTGTGGCTTTAATATGAACCTTCCTAAGCTTAAATTGTTGGCTATATTCAGGAGATGATTAGATGTCTGCGTAGAAATCCTGCTCTTGATTTAGGGTAGAGACTGTAGTACTGAAAATACTTTACAATACATGATAATAATGGAAAAGTAGATTCTCCATGGCCTAATATGCAATTATATGTAGACTATTTCTTAATGCTACTTCCAATGAGGACAATATCAGAAAAAATAATAGTTTGCAGAAAAGGTGAATTCAATACAAAAATGTTCTTTTATAAAGATAGTTGGTAAACATCAAAATGAACTGTAGATAAAGTTGTTCAGTCACTTTTGGAGAATGTTATTTATGTTACTCTTATGACCCATTCAAGATGGTAGTGGTTAAGCCTGAGTTTCACAGTCAAAAACACCAAATTTGAGTCAGAATCTTAATGTTGCTAGCATTATTATCTGTGTATTTCTCTAATCCTACTTTCCCATCATAAAATGGGGAGAAAAGTATCCACCACTCATTGTAAGTACCCCACAAGTGATAGTTACTATTCTTACAACCTATGTTACTTTTATTTAGGAAAGAAATAAAAGAAAAATTTTTTGAGGTCTTTAAGAAATGGACATTTTACAAATTTGTAAATTGAAATTTCTCTCGATTAAAAGAAAGTTTAGTTAAAGTTGTTTTCTGCCCTATTTTACTTAGACGGAGTCTTTTAACTGTCTGGTTAACATATTACAATTGATTGTAATTGATATAGTGATATATACAAACCCATCATAGGTCAAGGTTAGGCCTGCAACTGATTTGCTTTCACAGATTGTAGCAAAATATAACATGTAAAAGAGAAAAGACATGGCAGAAGTAAAAAATGAAAATTTGGCAATTCCAACTAAGGTAAATTTGAATTTTCTAATGATATATCCTCCTGCAAACATTCCACCTCCAATAGCAGGTATGGTTATGGTTCCTAGAAATAAAAGAAGAGAAAAAGGTTGTAATTATGTACATGTAGTTTTGAGACATGGCTTTATATATGAAACACAGCATATATCAACCAAATTCATCCAATCTTATTACTTCTTAAATAGAAGGGTGACAAGCCAGGATGGACATATGGGACCAGTGTACTATATGAGAGGGACAAAAATAATTTCTTCCCGCTAATGATGAGGATTTGGTTTCCTCAATAGCAAAAGGCAGTGACTGAGAGTATTTGTGTGTCCCAACAGATGTCTACGAGGCAATTTTTTCCCCCTAGAAAACAGCAACAAGATACCATATTTCTGTCTATGATACTTTGATCCTATCATCTAAAATCCTTTACATCTCTCAGAATAGAGTTCCAAACCTCAACAATACACTCCAAATTTTCCCAGGGCTTTAGAATTGAATACTTGAATTAATATCTCTTCATTATTCACCAAAACACACATGTACCCTGACATGATAAACAGATCTATATACAGAATTAAAAATGGTTGATTGCTCTTATAAATTTTCCATTTCATTGTCCTATAAGAGTTATTAAATGTGAAAACTTTTCTTAAGAAAATTCAGACTAAGTTATTAAGAGTCAAAACTAATATTTAGAATTTAAACTTTTATCTTAAGTTCAACAAGGATATCATACACACAGTACACACACACAGTATTTCCAGACAAAGGCTGGCCCAATACTTCAGTACATTCATTTTCTAATTATTATTTTCTTGTTTACTTATGACCTAGCTGCATACTACTTGATAAATTGTTTAATTCATCAAATACTTATTGAATTTCTATCATGTTTCTACAATATTGGTGTTGTGGGAAGAATGATCTAAGAAGACTTTCCCTTAATAAGCAGGTCTCAATATGCAATTGAAAATAAATTTTATAGCAAAATATACTTTCTAAAATATGATATTTGTTTTGAATTATGCATATTCTTATGATTTATTTAAATTGACTCTCCTTTTGGAAACATAGACATCGTATTTTTTGTAAGTAGCTGAGTCTTGATTTCAAAGTTCATGAATTACAAGATTATAATAATTATATTATAAAAGGATTTGTCTGAGAATCTCAGCACTAAAGTATAAGATCCAATCATGCATATACCATGTCTAAATGTTTCATTCACATGCAACTTTTTCTTTAGGAACTCATTCACATGCAACTTCAAATGCAGAACAATGATGCTATCCCAAGATTGGCAAATTTGATAAAGTTTGAGAAAGAATAAAAGGAAATTATACTAAAGTATGAAATTGCCTTCACAATACAAGATCACTTGGAACACAATTATGAGTAGTATTTCATTTATCAAGCAATTAAGTAAAAATATGTCTTACCTAACAAAAAGTTAGACTGAGAGGCTGAATGACCATACTGTTGCTCTACATATTTGAAGACGTAAGTAAAAGAACCAACAAAGCTGCTTATCTGTAACAATGTCAAAACCAGGAATATAACATATAGGGGATTGGTGAGGATGCTTTTCAAAGACTGGAAAAAACCTATAAAATTATAAAAATGAATAAAATTTTACAATGCAATTTAAATATATATCAATATCTGAATCTTATAAATATGTTAAAATTATAAAAATACATAACACAGAAATTGAGCACCCTGCAATCCCACTTTTAACAGTTGTTTAATGTATTCTTTCAATATTTTACATATATACCTTAATATTTATTTGTTTAGTTCATTTTACCCCCAAATAGGATCACACATAAATGCTGTTTTGTAACATGTTTTGTACACTTAATAGTTGCTTATGTGGCTCTTTACCATACTATTGTATACATATTAAATCACTTATTCATTTGTTCAACAAATATTTGGTTTTTAACTGGGTATCAGGAAACATGCTAAGTGTTCAGGAAACAAAATTGAGTAAGACATGTGATGTCCCTTATTTATTAGCACTTAATAGTACAATTATTATAGTAATAATAGAATTATTAAACATAAATTCAAGAAAAATAGCATAATCCAATACTCACAGAAATAAGAATATTTAGGTTCAAAATTGTTAAATATCAATTTACTATGAGGTCTCAGACCTCTTGTTTACTGATATACAGCTTTTCTACCATAAAATACTGCATCAGTAAATCTGGTAGTATAATATTATACATCACCTGTTTTAAGATGTAAGAAGGAGAGACAGGAGGACATAATGATGTCATGTCTCGAGTGACAATATGACAGTTATTGCAACTGTTGTACAGGTAGTACAGCATCCTATGCCTACAATATTTTTTCTTCCGACTGTATATTCTTAGTTATTTTATCCATTCCTAATAAGCACGTAACTAAGGTTCTCTTTACTATCCAGGTCACCTCTCTACAAACACAGTTGATAATATAGGTAATGTTTACAATTGTCCTATTTTTGCACCTTCATTATCCTCTCTATTCTTTTGGGGCTCACAGTCAACCCTGGCCCTTATAAGTTTAGACAATCCACTAATTTTTATAGAGTAGAAGCATAGCAGATACAAAACAAAAATTTCTTGGTATGCTGTTTTTAGTATGCATGTTAAATTTCAGAAACTTTTAACCCAGTGGTGTGTTGGTAAATGTTTAACCAACTCTTGGGGAAACAAACCCTGCTTTGTATTATTTCCCAATTTTCATGGTAATAAATGGTGATTAATTATCCTGTTATGGACAACTTCAAGCTACCAATGTAGATTAAATTTAACAATTCTCCCTCATGAGCCAATAAAAAGGACTCTAACCCATGATTGCTCTTGGGTTAGTATGATGGAGAGTAGAACATAATAAAATGGACAAGTGAAAGAACTGATGAAAGAAGAACTTGGGTACACCTGAGATTTTTTAATCTTATGCCAATGAAAACTTGAAAAATTTGCCAAGGGTTTAGGGGTTACATTGCTTTGGCTTTTACTATTTCATCATTTCTTTCCAATCTGAAACTGCTTGCTGTCAACACCTCACTGTTTCAAAATGAAAAAGGAGAACATTACAACTGATACCATAGAAATATAAAAGATCATCAGAGACTATTATAAACAACTATGTGCTCACAAACTAGAGGAAATGGATGAATTTCTGGAAACATAAGTCCTCCTGAAATTGAACCAGGAAGAAATAGAGCTCCTGAACAGACATATAATAAGTAGAAAGATTGAATAAGTACTAAAAAAGTCTCCCAACAAAAAAAAATTCCAGGACCAGATGGGTTCACAACCAAATTCTACTAAACATATAAAGAAGAACTAATATCAATCCTCCTGAAACTGTTCCAGAAAATTGAGTAGGAGGGAATTCTTCCCAGCTCATTCTATGAGGTCAGTATTACCCTGATACCAAAACTAGATAAGGACAGAACAAAAAAGGAAAACTAAAGACCAATATCCCTGGTTAATATAGACAGAAAAATCCTCAAAAAATACTAGGAAATGAAATCCAAAAGCATACCAAAAATATGATACACCATGATCAAGTGCGTTTTATACCAAGGATGTAAAGATGGTTGAACATATGCAAATCAATAAATGTGATATCTCACATAAATAGAATTAAGGATAAAAACCATATGATCATCTCAATAGACACAGAAAAAGCATTTGATAAAATTCAGCATCTCTTAATGATAAAAATCCTCATCAAACTAGGCATTTAAGGAACATACCTCAAAATAATAAAGGCTACATACAACGAACCCACAGCCAACATCATATTCAATGGGGAAAAGTTGCAAGCATTCCCCCTAAGAACTGGAACAAGATAAGGGTGCCCACTCTTATTCAACATAGTACTTGAAATCCTTGCCAGAGCAATCAGGCAAGACACAGTAAAAAAGGAATCCAAATTGAGAAAAAGGAGGTCAATTTGTCTCTGTTCACTGATGACATGAACTTATATATAGAAAACCCTAAAGACACCACCAAAAAACACTTAGATTTGATAAACAAATTCAGAAAATTTCAGGATATAAAATCAATGTACAAAAGACAGTAGCATTTCGACATGCTAATAATAATCTAGCTAAGACTAAAATCAAGAGGGCAATCTCATTTATAACAGTTGCAAAATAAAATAAAATAAAATGCCTAGGAATGTATTTAACCAAGGAGGTGATAGATCTCTACAAGGAAAACTACAAAACATTGGTGGAAAAAATTGCAGATGACACAAACAAATGAAAAAATATCCCATGCTCGTGGATCAGAAAAAATTAATATCATTAAAATGACCATACTGCGTAAAGAAACTTACAGATTCAATGCAATCCATATCAAAATGCCAGTGTAATTTTTTCACAGAATTAGAAAAAAAATTCTAAAGTTTATTTGGAATCAAAAAACCTGAATAGCCGAAGCAATCTTGAGCAAAACAAACAAGCTAGAGGCATCACATTGTCTGACTTTAAATTATACTATAAGGCTATAGTAACCAAATCGGCATGGCACTGGTATAAAAACAGACACATAAATGCATGCAAGAGAATAGAGAACCCAGAAATAAAACCGCATAGTAATAGCCAACTGATCTTCGACAGAGTCAACCAGAACATACACTGGGGAAAGGACAC